ATAATAATAATCCTTGTATTTGAGACAGCGCCTCTCATGCTGGAAGTCTTCAAGCACTTCACTTGTGACTTTAGTCTAAGTTCTTGTCTCTCTTCCGTTTAGCAGTTTGACATTGGTAACATTCTTGGCATCTGTTTGTTTCCAGGAATACTGTGAAAATATCATCACTGTTTTACAAAGATTGGATGAAAACAAAATACTTGTGTGTGGCACTAATGCTCAGATTCCCAAGTGCTGGCATCTCGTAAGTAGACGTTCCACAAATAGTAACATGCATTGAACAGTTACTATTTGTTATGTTGCCATCAGCCTTAACGAGTAATATTAATATTAATATTTGCATTTCATATAACCTTTCATATCAGGAGGAAATCCCAAAGAGTTTACTGTGAAGTGTAGTGACTGCTTGTTTTGTGGGTGAATGAAGCAGCCAGGTTATGCAATGTCTCATAAACAGCCATGTAATGAATGCGGGTCAAGTCTGTGCCTCTGTGTCAAGTTGGGTGTTCCGGACCCTTGTTGGAACGTTTTGAGCTCAATCCAGGCTGACGTTCCACGGCATTTCTGGGGCTACTCTGCATTGTCAGAGGTAACGTCCTTCGGATGACATTGTTCAACCAAAGTTCCGAGCAGCTTATTACAAGGGGTCACATAGTGAAAATTGGGTCCGAGATTCCCGCCTGGAGCATCTTGGCCAAGTCACAATTCCTTTTGCGGCACTTACTGCTTTGTCCAATATAAATTATACATTTCATAAATACTATAAATATTCATGAATAATTATTAAAATGTCACTTCACTTTACAGTAAAATCCTGTGAAGCGCTTTGAGACGTCTTGAGCGCGTGATAAGGCGCTGTATCAAATACAAGCTTTGTTATTAGTGGGTGAATGCTGCTCCATTCTCTGACAACGGGAATTCCGTCTGGTGCTAATTACACAAAATAAAATAATGTTTTGTACATCTTTCACATCAGGAGGACGTCTTAAAGGATTTTACAGATTCACTGTAAAATGTAGTGAATGTGTATTTGTAGGCAGACGCAGCAGATAATTTGCACACAGCAACGTCCCACAAACAGTTGTTGTTGACCACGACATAGGCAGAAACTCCCTTCTGGTTTCCAAATAATGTCTTGGGGTCTTTAATGTCCACCTGCAAAGGCACAGGTGGGACCTCAGTTTAATATCTCGTCTGAAGGACGGCACCTCTGAAAATGCAATCCACTGCTAGTAATTTGTATGATGCTTTTCCAATCTCAAAGCGCTTCACAAGGTTTACTGTAGTTTTTGTAGGTGAAATTATGACATTGTGCTTCAAGATTTTTCAGCCGAGTAAGAGAAGGTGTCCCCTTTCTGAGGTTCAAGAGCTAATTTCGAAGCTACTCGTTTACCCGTGAAATAAGACTGAGCAATGAACATCAGAAAATAAAACAAGTCACCTTTCCAACACTAATCACTTATTTCTGTCTTATTAGGCGAAAGATGGGAGCTTGAGTGTGATTATCAATGGGTTTAATTTACCTCTTGGGAGAGGTGTTTCTGGGTACACCCCTAAACAGAGGACCACTTCACTGTATGCGGGTAAGTCTAGATTCAATTCACATCTTGATTCTGGGTTAAACTGCTGCTCACACCCAACTCCTCTAGCCACCCTCTTCCCTCGTTCCTCTTCGCTCCACCATCGGTGACCATAATGTTTCCTCTTCTTTTTATCTCGAATCCTCCGCTCCACCATCTGTGGCCATGCCTTCAGCCACTACCCACCAATATGGAACTCCCTCCCTCAATCCCTTCACTTGCCCCTCTTCAAAGAGTTTCACAGAATTTTGTAGGCAAAATATGGTCATCTTCCCCCTCCCCCTGGCTTGGCATCGGGCTCCGCCATTGTTAAACATTGTGAATAAACAACAAATTGCTGCTGTTGAAGTTGTTGCCTGATCATTATGTTCCAATACAGACCGAAGACTCTATTCAGCAGTTCCTCTCTATAGAAATGGTGACCAAATCGTTTTTCAAGGATATAAAGACAAAAAGCGGGTGCGGACTCAGGACAAGTGGATACAGGGTGAGAATGAAATGTTAATAAATGTTTAGGACCCTCTTTCTTTGCTTGACGTTTGAAAATTGTTGCTCTCCTCACCCGTCAGGTCTTTGACTTGCCATATGTTGATTTTTTTCTCTCTGATCAGCTGTCTTTTGTGAAAGAGGAAGAAAACATAACCAAATTGTGCTGTTCCATTTCCCAATAACAGGGACTGAAGTTAGTGTAGATGGGTTTTGTTTCTCAGTAATGAGGAAGCTTGATTGCTTAAAAAAAAGAAAGATGAAGAGAGAGCGAGAGACAGACAGACAGAAACAGAAGGAGCCAGAGAGAGAGACCGAGCCAGAGAACCAAAGTCAGAGAAAAAGAGAAAGCAAGTTAAAGAGAGTGAGACAGAGAGAGATCACGTCAGCGAGAAGGACTGGCACAATGTGCTGCTATGTGTATTTTGTTTGATATCCAATTATTCCAATTAGTTTCCATATCCACATTGGGCCAAGGGTAGTTATTTGGACATTGGGCTCTCTGCCGTCTGGGTCACTCTTCAGTGACTTGTGATCTTGTCTCCTCTTGTTTAGAGCCCATCTTTACCAATTTTGTGCAATCGGATGATCTGATTTTCATGTTCTTCCGGGAGAAGCGTGTGGGAACAAAGAACTGGGAGGTTGACCCCTGGATATCCCGGATTGCACGAGTGTGCAAGGTGTGTAAGGCAGGTTCGAACCATCAACATTTACAGCTCACAAGGAGGCCATTCAGACCATCAAGAGAAAGGAGTTTCTCTCTCCCGGTGTCCTGGCCAAAATCCCCCAAATTCAAATTTCATGGCTGTTTATAGAACATTGCTATGTGCAATTGTGCTGCCTCTTTGCATACAAATACAGTCACTTCATTTCACAGTAATTCCTGTGAAGCGCTTTGAGACATCCTTCTGATGTGATAAGGCGCTATACCACAATCAAGGATTATTATTATCATGTCTTTGCTGCCTCTCTGAGAGCCATCTGTTTCGCTTGTCGTTTCTGATGGTAGAGACCACAAGATGATGTGATGATGTGATCAAGCCGCTTTTTAAATGAGTCCCAGCGTCCTGGCCTCAACCACCCTTCCCGACAACCCCGATACAATCATTACTGCACTCTGAGTAAATAAGTACTTGATCATCTTGCAATTGCCCTCTGCAGACCTGAACCTGTGTCCTCTTGTTCTGCTGTCCCAGTGCAGCAGAATTAACTGTTTTGGGCAGTGACGCACACTGACACCAATTTAATGTGAATGAGGTCTATCAGATGGCAACTATTATTGTTCTGTATTGCTATTACAGTCTGATCTCTTTACTCATAGGCTGACAAAGGGGGTTCCGAATCTGACTTGTTCAATAAATGGACGACCTTTCTGAAGGCAAGGCTGGTGTGCAGTCTGCCCTCCCAGAACCTGCATTTCAACCGGTTGGAAGACGTTTTCATTGATAAATCTAGTACGTCCAGCGAGACCCGAGTCTATGGTATATTTTCCAACAGTTGGTGAGTACACCAGAGCTGCAGAACACCCTCGTTCCAACTTTTAGTCTAAAGTTTCAATCTAAAGGTAAAAGACCTTCCTTTTTGATCGTGCTTACGGTCACCTCCCCCTTCCTCCCAAATCAATTAGGCATTCCCCCCTCTGGCTGTATGTGGGGTGTTAAATATGCTGCGTTTGCCTACAGACACAGTCACTAGACCTAATAATCACTAATTAACAAACTGGAACAGGGTTAGAAAGGATGGTTGAGGCCAGGACACTGAACACATTTAAAAAGCAGTTTGATGCTGTGATGGGGGATGATAGGGGGGTGTTCTGGTGGTGGCCAAAGGGCCTTCTTCATCCAAACTAATTGTGAAATTCAATTCATTATGTGTTTCCATACAAATTATTTCATTTTCTCTTTTTTCAGGAATTCAACAGCGGTCTGTGTGTACTCCATAGGAGATATTTTGAACGTGTTTAAGAATTCCAATTTCAAGGGTTTCACTGGAAAATTCCTGACCATAGGCCTGGCACGGTAAGGAGTGACACAAATCTAGTTGTTCACAACACACAAATTAAGGTTCACTGATTGTTTGGAAGTGAATGACAAGCTTCTGCTGCAATAATAATCCTTGCACTTGATGTAACGCCTTATCACGTCTTCGAGACATCTCAAACCAATTCACAGAATATATTGTAAAGGGTATGTTTATTTTGTGGGTGAAATGTTTCGCCAATTGTGCACAGCAGCGTCCCACGAACAGTGTGAATTAAGTGACCAAATTATTATAATTTTTTGAAATCCGAAAAAGTGATCCATCAATTGACTAACAACTTGGTTCCTACTTACTGCTGAGTAAACAGAGGTGTGTGGACTATGGAAACTTGCCTAAGGTTTCACACTGCCCGGAAACTGAACCTGGGTCCCCTCACTTGCAAGGCGAGCGTGCTAACCACCACGTTACATGCCCTGTCTGTCCAGGGTAACAGAGCTGGGGTTTATTGACTTATTTTCAACCCGAAATGTTTACAGTCCTTCTCATTCCAACCCCCTTATCTGTATGACGCTGAATATAACAGAGACATTGATGTGGAGGATAATCAGTTGACTGTTTTTACTTAAAAAATCTTCTTGTTTTGTGTTTGCATGTGATGCCAAAGAGAGAGAGAGGGGGAGGGCAGCAAATGATCAGTTCCTGAAAACAGCATCTGTTTAAAGCTTTACAAACGTTAGCATTCTGTTAATCTTCACTGGGCAGTCTTTAAATAGGATTTATCAAAGAGGAATGGGGCATTGAGATTCTCTCCCAAAGGTGGATAAAGTCAAAGACAACTTATAGCACAAATAAAGGTTAAATCTCCTGTTTCTTTTTGCACAAATATTGCAGTGTGTTGCTGACAGTCAGAGGGTACCACGTGACACCTTGATCTTCATAAGTGAACACGCTGAGATGGAGCAGCCGATCAACCCCATCGGAGGAAAACCAATCATCATCAGCAAACAGCACTACTTCAAGAAAATAGTGGTGGACAGAATTGTTGGGAAAGCTGGCCTGATCTCCCATGTTCTCTACCTGGCTACAGGTAGGTCATGGCAGGCTCTCGTTTGGCTAAATAGTCTTACTGACACATTAATGGGTCCTCAAGCCTTGCCTCTCGCCATCCTGGGCCAGTATAATTTTGGGGTTTGGCGAGCTGGGGAGAGAGTGCATTCCATTCCAAACACAGAGATTTCCATGTGTATGTGAAACTCTCAGTATTTGGTCTGGAGGTTCTTAAGCATGGAAATGGTATTGCGCATAATATATTTTTCATGTCAGAACATTTCAAAGCGCTTCACAGGATTTACTGTAAAATACAGTGACTGTACGTGAATTTACTTATTTTACTCTCCCCTACTGGAGCTCTTTACTCTAATACCATTACTCTGCTCTTATTTAAATAAAATAATGTTTTAAAATAAAACATTTTTTTAAACATTTAAACCAATTCCCTTTTAATGTTGTTGAGGACTCGGCCTCAACAGGTACTGAACGATTTTCCAAAACTGCTATTCTCACACCTCTTTGTGTGCGAGTGGTGTGAGGGGCTGTCCATCGGCAACAACATATTGAAACACACAGTCATCAACTCCATAACAAAACCACTCTGTCAGATTAACACAAATCCATGAAGAGCTCATTCTTAATGAGCACTAACCACCTCACTCACACTCAATCACTTCATGCCCTGACACCGACTCTCTGACCATCTCATGCCCCACTCCTCCAGAGCCTCCTTCGCTCACCTGGCTTAGGCCTTCTGTTTGTCTCTGACCCCTCCGCTGCACCATTGGTGGCCATGTTTTCAGAACATGTGCCCCAAACCCTCTGCTTTGCGCTTTTTTGCATGTCACACCCAAAGACCACCTCGTCTGCCTCTGTACTCGGGCTCCCATCCTGTCTCTGTAATACACTTTGAGACCAATATTCTGCCGAGGTGAAAGGTACTACATGTGCAAGCTGTTTTTGTGTTTGGAGATCACCTTGGGATATATGTTACCTACAAAACCAGTCACACCAGTTCAGTAATTACTGTCAACTTGCAAAACGCTACAAGAATGCAAACGCTTTCTTTGCTAAGACTGCTGTAACATCACCGCTTGTTTGATCTCTGCAGAGAACGGAAAAATCCAGAAAGTGGTGGAAATAAATGAATCGACCTTCGTTATATCAGAAATCAAAGTTCTGAGCAAACCGGGGCCGATCTTATCCATGTTCCTCGATTCACAAACAGTAAGTGGCGAACGTGCCCAGAATCATCCATCTGGTAATAAATACCCCAACCATCATCATATTTACCCTCTCAGCACTGAGGAACAGCACTGACCTTGTGCCTTTTCCGTTTTTTCTAGAAACATCTGTACATCAACTCTGCGGAGGAGCTAGTCCGGTTTCCGATGCCGCAGTGTTTCCGTCACACAAACACCTGTGAAAATTGTGTCATGGCCCGAGACCCTGACTGTGGGTGGAACTCAATCAGAAAGCAATGTGAAACTTTCGATCCGAAGGGGTAAGTGATAACCTTGTGATTGTCAGCGCTGATTTCTAATCTTTTCAGTGGTCAGCCCGGCTCAGCTGGTTACACTCCCGCTTCTGGGTCAGAAGGTTGTGGGTTTATACCCCACGGTCAGCCAACTCTCTCCCTGTGAGCCACCCATTTCAGGTACGAAAATTACAAATGGCTGACTTTTGGATCACCACCACCATCACTTCCTGTGGTGTGCAAAGCAGGACGTGATGTTGGTGGCGACCAGGAAGATGACCATGTTTTCGAGCAGGCCAGCACAGTGAATGGGGTGCACAGTGCCATTGTAAGAGACTACAGTGAAGGGCGTTGTAATGGGTCTGCGCTGTGTTTAAACAAAGCTGCTGTGCCTTGTGCCCTCTGTAAAGAAATGGCCAAGTTAGAAGTTCCAATGGGATGTGATTAGGAAGGCCAGCGTTCTGTTGATAAGTGACTGTGTGATGTGGGATGAATGTGTTCTTACTGCATAACCTCATCCCAGACTTTAAATGTGAAATCCTTTTCCAGGGCCATCATCCAAGATCTCCAACATGGGAATCACCAGATATGCAATATAAGAGAAGGTAAAATACTGTTTGAGAGACAGAAATTGGTTGCTACGCGATTGTATATATTTAAGGGCGAGATTGAAGGAATGCAGAGCCAACACATTCCGAACAACAATAATAGGATTACATTTGTATTGCGCCTTTCACATCCGGAGGAATTCCCAAGGAGCTGGACAGTGTACAGCATTTCACACCTGAGCTGGGGTCAGGGGGGAAGAAGGGAGGGGAAGGGGGGTGACTGATGACATGGTTGAATAGGAGGTTTTTGAGGTGGGACTTGAAGAAGGCTAAGGAGGGGGTGAGGCGGAGTGATTGGGGGATGGAATTCCAGAGGTTGGGAGCAGAGTGGCTGAAGGCTCTCCTACCAATGGTGGGGAGGGTGGGTTGGGAGACGTGGAGCAGCCAGAGCCGGCTGATCGGAGGGAGCGGGCGTGTTCGTAGGGGGTTAGGACGTCGCAGAGGTAGGTTGGGACGAGGCCATGGAGGGCTTTGTAGGTGAGGGCCAGGATCTTGAACTGGATCCTCTAAAGGATAGGGAGCCAATGGAGTCGGGCGAGAGTGGGGGAGATGGGGTCACGGAGTTTGGTGCGGGAGAGGACACGGGCTGCAGAGTTCTGGATTATCTGCAGCTGTGGAGGGAGGAGTTGGGAAGGCCGACAAGCAGGGCGTTATAGTCGAGCCTGGAGGTGATGAAGGTGTGAACAAGAGTTTCAGCGGCTGAGGGGTGAGGTAGTGGCGGAGTAGGGTGATGTTACGGAGGTGAGGGAAGGCAGAGCGGGTCATGGCTTGGATGTGGGGAAGAAAAGACAGTTGAGGGTCGAACAAGACATCTCGGTTCCTGACTGGTTGGTGAGTTGTCGTGTGCAACCGTGGAGGTTGATGTTGCCAGAGCCTGAGGTGCGGAGGCGCTGGTGTGAGCCAATCAGGAGGGCCTCAGTCTTGTTCAGATTCAACTGAAGGAAATTTGCCCTCATCCAGGACTTGATGACTGACAGGCAAAGAAGGAGTAAGGCTTGTGCAGTAAAGCATAGAGTACCACGGCTACCAACAAATAACAGAAGGAACTGAGGGACAACAGGGAAGCTTATATAAAATGCAAATCCGATAGCAACAGCAACAAAATTACATTTGTGTAGCCCTGTGGAAAAAGCAGAGTGTAGTTTGCTAATCAGTGCTTTCAAAGGCAACCTACAGTCAACTTCTGATAACTCGTCACTCCAAGGGAAAAGAGCTCAATGATGAATTATCAGGAGGGGAGAGTTAAGCCTATGTATAAATACATAAATAAATGCGGCCAGCATATTGAAAAGCCTCGGCTCTCACCAATTTACGCCTGATAATCTCCAGAATTAGGTAAACAGGGTGTCCATTCTATTGCAGATACAGTGAAATCTCCAAGTGTAGGTGACATACATCTACAAAACTCTCAGACTGGTTTGGATACTCTTAAACCTGGTGATGGGTTTCCGTGTGTGTCACATGCTCCCGGCAGTGGAATGAAACACTTTGTTTCTGATGGTTGAACCTAGGCGTACAGAAGCAAAGAGATGTGGAGATTAAACCTTGAGGCGTAGAGTATCAAAGTAATGTGGGGATTCAGTACCCCAAATCTCTAAAATTAGCTGGACATGTAGATAAGGCTATAAAACACTCTTGGGCTTTATATCCAGAGGGACAGAGTACTAAAGTGAGGAGGTAATGTTGAATTTATACAAACCTTGGTTAGACCACATTTCAACTATTGTCTCCACACCATAAGAAGGATACAGCAGCGATGGAAGGCTTACAAGGATCATACCTGGGCTGGCAGGTAACTGTTATAAGGATAGACTGATAGTTTAGGCCCTTTTTCGCAAGAGAAGAAATGCTTGACTGGGGACCTAATGGAATTGTTTAACTTTATAATAGGGTTAATATGGTTAACATAAATAGACCGTTTCCACTGACTGGGGAGTCTGAAACTAGGGGACACAAATATAAAATAGTGACTAAGGCGGGTCTAATAGAGAATTTAGGAGGAACTACTTCATGCAGAGTTGCGAAATGGAGGAACTTGATTGAATCAGATGGTGTATTTGCATTCAAGAGAAAGCTGGACCTTCACATGAGGGAGAGAGGAATAGAAGGGTGTGGCAGGGAGTAAGGAATGGGTGAAGCCTCGGATGGAGTATAAACACCAGCACGGATTGATTGGGCTCAATGGCTTGTTTCCGGGCTGTACAATCTTTGTAATCTTACACCCTTCTCCCCATCTTACAATTCACATTGTAAGTGCTTGTGAGAATGGAGTCCAAATATAGACACAGTTACATTCATACAACAATTGCATTGTGGTGTTGCCTTGAACATGAAGATTGTGGCCTGATCAGGTGGACATTAAGGATCTCATGGCACTATTTGTAATAAGGAGGGAGATTCTCTCTCCCGGAGTCCTAGCCAACAATCTTCCAGATAAAATTGGTCACTCACTCTGTTTGTGGGATGTCACTGTGCACAAATTGACTGCCTAATCCATCTACAAAACACACAATCACTGCACTTCACAGTGAACACTATAATGCACTTTGAGATGTCCTCCCAACTTGAAAAGTGCTGTATCAAATGTCAGGATTATTTATCCTGGCATGGCCATCAAGGCTATAGTAAGCTTTGCCCCCATTTCCTGATACAACAAATTGCATTTATAAAGCGCCTTTCACTTTGGGAGGACGTTCCAGAGTGCTGGGGGTAATTCCACAAGGGGTTAAGTACGGCTTAGTAATGAGTTCTGCATTTTTCCTCTTAGCGATACTTGGTTTTGCAAGACAAGGACCTGAATTGAGGAAAGAGACACAGCAAATCAACATTTCCCGTGATACCAAGCCACCGCCCATGTACCTGCCGTGCCGGAAGTATTCCTATCATGCTGAGTATTCATGGAAACACAAAGACCAGATGCTGCCCTGCTCCTCCACTCGTGATGATTGTCTTCTCCTCATCGAGAGATTTTCTGAGCCTGATTATGGCTTGTACGAGTGTATTTCGAGGGAAAATGGAATGGAGCAAGTTCTGGCTTCCTATTTTATTCCTCATTCATCTGGGTGCAGTCTCACTCTGTACCCACCTCTGCTTCTAGTTGTGACACTCCTTCTGTACTGAAGACATAGACTTCACACCCTGGCACATTTCTATCTTCCATAAAACAAAGATTCCAACCAAAGGTCAGAAAGAAAAACACTTGCCACGAAAATGCCATTCAGCCTCCTCCTCCCAGGGTCACAAGCTGTTCTGTCGCTATAGCTTTCTAACAAATTTAACCTAATACCATTCGTGCAAAGACAGGCGAGTTGTTACCAGCGGTTTGAAACAGCATTGACGGCAGGACTCACTTAATAAGCAGCTGTGATGGGAAGACAACAACAGCTTGCATTTATATAGCGCCCTCCACGCCGGGCAGCATCTCAGAGCGCTTAACAATGGTGGAGCCCAAGGTTGAGCCAGGGGGAGGGGGAAGGTGTGGTCGAAAAGGCGCCATCTGAAGATGGGGAAGGAGGGGGGGGCGAGGTGAAGGGGTTGATGGAGGGAGTTCCAAAGTTTCGGGGCATCGTGGCTGAAGGCACGGCTGCCGATGGTGGAGCGGAGGATTCGGCCCACGTGCTGGAGGCCGGACACAGTAGAGGGGAGGATGTACTGCTGTGGGGAGAGAGAATGTTAGAGAGATGGGGTGGGGGCAAAACTGGAGGGACTTAAACACTACAATGAGGATCTTGAAGTTGATGATGGTAGGACAGTGGTTGTTCTGGAGAGATGACATCAAAGCAAACAGAAGGGTCTTGTTTTTCTAAATCTCCCTCATGTGAAGCATTTTGCAGTAACAGCTCATGGACAGAATTTGGATCCAGCTGAATCTAGGTGTCAGCTTAGACAAGTGAGTAGCACATCTCACCTCTGGGTCAGAAGATTGGTGTTCAAGCCCCAGTTCGGGCCACTCAGCTCAGGGTCTCAGCTGCCATCCAGAGGCATTGATGTGGTTTGTTCTTGGATGAGTGACACAAGCCAAGAACTGTCATTCTTCTCTTGGATGTTTGTGCAACATTTTCTTGGTGCAGATTGGTTGCCGCGTTTCGTAAAACCAGTTCTCTTACATCAGGTCAGTCAGTAACGCTTTGGTCTCTGTAATAATGGGTCTGAGGTCAAGGAAACATCATTGATTTTCACATTTTACCCATTTGATTCTATGTTTTGCAATATAAATAAATACTTTTTGAAGCTGACTAACATGTGGTTATCTTTGGTTTGGCTTCCCCAATGGCTTCACCTCCCACCATCACACAGTCAGCTGCAGGGCGCTACCCTCCCTCTGCTCCTTTTCCTCATCTACAATGGGCCCCTTGGTGACACAAGCGCAGACGGGGTCAATTGTCACCTCTCCGTGGATGTCACCCAAATCTACCTCTACTTCTGCCCTTGATCCCAGGTCCACTGGTGATTTGACCGCCCGCCTGACAGACCTCAAGTCCTGGATCAGCCTCAATTTTCTTCAGCGAAAGATGAAGAAGACTCTTCCTCCTCATTCTTCCTGCATTGACCCCCTCAACCTCCTGGCCTCTCTCTCCACTCACCGAGGCAGTGTGCACATTGCATTCCAACAATCTATCTCTGGAACTTCCATGTGCAGGTGGGATGCATGAAATTCTCAGCTTGATATTCTTAAGCACGGTGATGGATTTCCACACGTGTCAGACATCCGGCTGACCAAAAAAAGTTGTCAAACTTGCAACAAAATGCAACGATTATTTATGACTTTCACTCTGTCTATTGTGTTGTCTTTATGACTGTCTCTTGATCTCTGTCTCTCTCTCTGATGATCGCTCACTCTCATTGTGGATTCTTTGTCTCTTTCTGACTGTTTAATCTCTGTTTCTCTGTCTCTTTCTCTGTCTAATCTCTGTGTCTCTTTCACTTTCTATTACTCTCTGACTGAATCTTGACACTGCACAAACATATCCTTGCATATCCTTATAATCCTTGCATTTGATATAGCACCTTATTACGTTTTTGACACGTCTCAATGCGCTTCAGAGTTCACCTTTGTGCTACCACAGCTCGGGTGCAATTTCAGGGCTATCAAGACTTTGAGCGAATCGCACTCTGAGACGTCTCAAAGATGTGATAAGGTGCTATATCAAATGCAAGGATTATTATTATTATTTAAATCCTCCTGATGTGAAAGTCGCTGTTTGAATGTAAATTTGCATTGGATTGTACTGGCAACAAATAAGTCCAATTGCAAGCAATAGGTGGGCACATCAACAACTTGTATTTATATGGACAGAGAGTCCAGAGTGAGGCGAGGCCAGAGTGAGAAGGAATTGGGTGAGAGTGGGAATTGCTGTGGGAACTGCTATTGTAAGTATTCAAGTGCTGTGCTACTAAAAACTGTTAAAACTACTGATGCCATTGGTAGATTGGTAAACTGTCTAATTATTGGTAGATTGGTAAACTGATCTAATTATCTAGATCAGTGTGCCGAGGAGCCAACCAGGGAACAGGCCATATTAGACCTTCTTTTGTGTAATGAAGCAGAGCTGATCAGCTAAGTGATCCTCTCGGGCAAAATGTGATCATAATATGATGGAATTTAGCATTAAGTTAGAGAGAATAGTTAAGTCCGAAGCAAAGGTCTTAAATTTAAGTAGAGCCAACTTTGCTGGCATGAGATAGCTAAAATAAATTGGGAAATTAGACTTATGGATTTGACAGTAGACCAGCAATGGCAGACGTTTAAGGAGATAGTGCGTTAAACGCACCTGGGTCAAATCTGGCCTAACGGTCCACCGACAAATCTGGCTGGACGTCCTCAAAATCTATCGCTCCACTCTAGCCTCGGCCAAGACGTCCTTCTAGTCCAGGATAATCCTGGAGGCGAAGGACAACCCCAGGCCACTGTTCTCTACCACATCCCAACTCCTCCGTCCCCCCCGCCACCCCGCGCAGGTCGTCTCCTCCAACCTTCACTGCGAGGAGATGCTGGATTTCCTGGAATCCAAAATCAAGGGAATTCGCTCCGCGGTCACTTCCCCTCCAACATCCACCCACCCCCACCCCCTCCCTCCCACACTCCGACTACCCATCCTCCCCTACACACTTTCGTACCCGTTTCCCCACGCTCTGTCACCAAACTCATCCTATCCCAGAAACCCACCACCTGCTCCCTTGACCCCATCCCCACTCCACTCCTTATCTCCCAGCTCCACCTCCTTGCCCCACATATCACAGACATCGTCAACCTGTCCCTCTCCTCTGGCTCTGTTCCCATTCCCTTAAAAACTGCCACCATCACGCCCACCTTGAAAAAACCCTCCCTTGATGCGTCGCAGCTATCAAGCTACCGGCCCATCTCCAACCTCCCCTTCCTGTCCAAGGTCCTGGAACGAGTTGTCGCCTCCCAGCTGCGCTCTTTCCTCTCCACCCATTCATTATTCGAACCCCTTCAGTCGGGTTTCCGTGCTGCCCATAGCACAGAAACTGCCCTGGTCAAGGTCACCAATGACATCCTGACCATCTGTGACCAGGGCTCCCTCTGCCTCCTCGTCCTCCTCGACCTATCGGCAGCATTCGATACGGTCGACCACGCTATCCTACTCCACCGCTTGTCCTCCCACCTCAACCTTCAAGGCCCTGTCCTTGAGTGGTTTAGGTCGTACCTCTCCCACCGTCTTCACTTTGTCTCCACGAATGGTTTTTCTTCCGGCCCCCGCACTGCCTCGTGCGGTGTCCCTCAGGGCTCTGTCCTCGGTCCCCTCCTCTTCACCCTCTATATGCCTCCCCTGTGGTGACCTCATCCGCAGACATGGGGTTAACTTCCACATGTATGCGGATGACACCCAACTCTACCTTTCCTCCTCTACCCTCAACTCCACGACCCCCGATGTCCTGACAGCTGTCTGTCCGACATCGAGTCCTGGACGAGAGATAACTTTCTCCGCTCAACGTACGAAAAACTGAAGCCCTCCTGATTGGCTCACGTCAGCGCCTCCGCACCTCAGGTGCTGACAGCATCAGCATCCAAGGCCGCACTCTCCACCTCTCAAAGCCATCAGGAACCTCGGGTTCTGTTCGACCCTGAGCTGTCCTTTCTCCCTCATATCCGCACCACAACTGGCACCGCCTTCCATCACCTCCGGAACATCGCCAGACTACGGCACTACCTCACCCCTCACGCGGCTGAAACTTTGGTCCACGCCTTTATCACCTCAAGGCTGGACTATGGGAACTCTCTCCTCGCCGGCCTTCCCGGCCCTCCCTCCACACTGCAGGTCATTCAGAACTCTGCAGCTCGTGTACTGTCCCGCACCAGACACCGCGACCACATCACTCCCACCCTCGCTCGCCTCCACTGGCTCCCCATCCCCCAGAGGATCGAATTCAAGATCCTCATCCTCACCTACATGGCCATTCACGGCCTCGCTCCCTCCTACCTCATTGACCTACTATCCCCCTACCTACCCGCCCGCACCCTCCGTTTTTCTGGCTCCGGTCTGCTCCACATCCCCCGCCCCAACCCCTACCATCGGTGGCCGGGCCTTCAGCCTCTCAGCCCTGAGGCTCTGGAACTCTATCCCCCAGTGCCTTCGCCGCTTCCTCCCTTTCCTCCTTCAAGGCCGGTCTCAAGACCTTTCTCTTTGACCTTCAGCCTTCAGCTCCCCTCTCGACTCTCTACCCCCTCCTCGGTCCCTCCCTTCCCTCCCCTCACCCTGACCATTTCCCCCCATTGCTCGGGTCCTGACCCAACTGTACAGCGCCTTGGGACGTCCTCCCGACGTGAAAGGCGCTCAATAAATGGAATCTTGTTGTTGTTGTTAGTGTTCAGAGGGACTTGTGCACCAGTCTCAAAAGGTTAGTTTTCAGGTGCAGCAGCAACTAAGAAGGCGAACGGCATGTTGGCGTTCATTGTAAAAGGTTTAGAGTACAGCAGTAGGGAAGTCTTGCTGCAACTGTATAGGGCTTTGGTGAGACCGCACCGAGAGTATTGTGTGCAGTTTTGGTTCTTATTTAAAAAAGGACATACTTGCGCTCGAGGGGGTGCAGCGTAGATTCACTCGGTTAGTTCCTGGGATGAGGGGACTGACCTATGAGGATATTTGTAGGGGAACGCAGAAGCCAATTTGTGTACAGCAATGTTCCACAAACATCCATTAAGTAGCCATTTTAAGCTCCCCTAGACGCCCACAAATATACAGTTCATTCACTTTACAGTATATTCTGTGAAGCTCTTTATGACACTATCGAATGCGAGGAATATTATTATTATCCTGTGTGAAGTGCGGTATGTAAATTCATGTTGTTGTTGAAGTGAATGACCAATTTTATCTGGGGATTGTTGACGAAACATCTTCCCTTTTTCAAACCGTGCCATTTGATCTCGAAGTGCTGACAAGGAATACAACAGAATCATTAATGAATCGGTGCGGCTGTTGCTAGCTGGGACTAGTGAAGCGCGTCACCAGTAAGAGGAGAGTTTCAAAATAGAACACAGAGCACGTCTCTGATTCTCTGATCGTTCTGGTGAGGTGATGTGTGAGGAGCGGTTTCAAGGGTGAAATGACATCTCAGGGCTCAGATGATGGTAATCTGCATGAGTGGCTCAATGCCGCCAGTGGCTCAGTTCCGGGCTGGAACAATTTGTGCTGGAATAATTCTCGAGCAACGTTCACTTAATCAGCTCGAAATACAACAACTGGCAGCACCAGTCCATCCATTCATTAACTAAGTCCCTGTGCAGTAAACTATTGACTACAAAACATTGCTAACCGACCGCACCTCAACGAATGGTGTGCAAGTTACATTAGGTTCCCTGCGGGTCTCCAGACAGCCTGGCACTTTGCTGTGAACTTGTGAACCATTACAACAACAAAATGACATTTACAGAGCGCCTTTCACATCGGAAGGACATCCCAAAGCACTGAACAGTCAGGTGTCGGGGCCTGAGCATGGGGGAGGGGTGGTGTAGGGGTGAGGGAAGACAGAGAGGTGGGAGGGCGACCAAAGGCACGGTTGAAGAGAAGGGTCTTGAGACCAGCCTTGAAGGAGGCGAGGGAGGAAGCGAGGCAAAGGGACCGTGGGATGGAGTTCCAGAGTGTGGGGGCAGAGAGGCTGAAAGTCCAGCCACCGATGATAGGGCAGGTTGGGCGGGAGACATGGAGCAGGAGCCCGCTGAACGGAGGGAGCGGACAGGTTGGTAGGGAGTCAGCAGGTCAGAGAGGTAGGAGGGGGCAAGGCCATGGATGGCCTTAAAGGTGAGGACGAGGATCTTGAACTCCATCCTCTGGGGGATGGGGAGACAGTGGAATCGCCCAGCTCCCCTAGCTCGGGTACCAAACCAGTACTGTGAAGTGCCCCGAGACATCCTCCCGATATGAAAGCCACTTTCACCAACCTGTCTGCTCCCTCAAAGAGAAATAAAAGAAAAACAACAAATGACATTTGTAAAGCGCCTTTCACGTCGGGAGGATGTCGCAAGGGCTGGACAGTCGGGGATTTGGACCTGAGCAGAGGTTTGGGTCCAGGGGGAGTGGAGGACAGGAAGAGTAGGGGTAGGAGGGTGGCCGAATGCGTGGTCGAAGAAAAAAATCTCGAGACAGAGAGGCAAGGGAGGGAGCAAGACTAAGGCACTGTGGGATGGATTTCCAAAGGGCGGGGGCAGAAAATTTGAAGGCCTGACTGCTGATGGTGGGGTGGGCCAGGCGGGGGATGTGGAGCAGGCCAGAGCCTGCTGAATTGAGGGAGCAGACACGTTGATATGGGATTAGCAAGTCACAGAGGTAGGAAGGAGCAAGGCTGTGGAGGGCCTTGTAGGTGAGAACAAGGATTTTGAACTGTGGAGCACGGGGAGACAGACAAGGATGGGATGATAGGGTCGTGGAGCCTGGTGCGGGAGAGTTCTGGATGATCTGTATCTTGTGGAGGGAAGAGTTAGGAAGGCCGACAAGCATACGGTTGGTGTCGTCAAGCTTAGATGTAGTAAATGCATGCTTAGATATGAACGAAAGCTACAACTGATTGCTCCATGGAGATTTGAAGGCTGAAACAGAAGCTCTCATAATATGGGCACAAGACAAATCTATTTATAATAATAATATCTTAAAGAGAAAATTTGATCCAAAATGCAGAATATGTCATCAAGCACGAAAAACAGTGGACCACATATTGTCCTTATGTCCAGCCTTAGTACAATCAGAATATCTGATTAAACGTAAAAAACATAGCTAAAAATATTCACTGGACAGTTTGTAAACACTAATAATGATGTAAAGATCAACTGGCGTGAACTTCAACCAGTAAAAATGACTTTGAGAAACAACATCGCAATAATCTGGGATTCACAAGTACATACATATATTGTACACAAGGACAATCAGCTGTAACGGATAAGATATTATCATAAAGATTCAAATACTGTAGATTGTACACTTAGTATTATTGATGTGACCGTCCCAAGTCATTACAATCTGAAAAATAAGGAACTGGAGAAAATCAGGAAATATATCAATCTACAAATTGAATGTGGACATATGTAACAAGCAATATGAGATAAATATAGTTCCTATAATCATCGGTGCAACTTGAAACTGTTAATGAGACTATTCAAAAATGGCTTGACAAGATACCTGGTGAGCAAAACATCAACCTCCTGCAAAACGTAGCTATTTTACGAAGCTCAAATATATTAAGAAAAGTAATATTTATTCATATATAACTTGGCAGTATTATTGATCTGGCTGACCCATCCCTGAACACCATTTAGAAATGACCTCTACAGAGTAGTAGTAATAATAATAATCTTCTCATTTGATATAGCAACTTTCACAATACGAGGATGTCTCAAAGTGTTTTCCAGGATTTTACTGTGAAGTGACTGTGTACTTGCAGGTGAACACTGCAGCCAATTTGCGCACAGCAATATCCCACAAGTAGCCATGGAGTGAGCAACAATTTTGATCTTTAACGTCCACCTGAACAGGCAGACGGGATCTCAGTTTAACATCTCATAAATAATAATAAATAATAATCCTTGCATTTGATAAAGCACATTATCTGGATGTCTCAAGGCGCTTCACAGAATATACTGCAAAGTGAATTGACTATATTTGTGGGCGAAACATGGCAGCCAATTGTGCGCAGCAGTGTCTCACAAACAGTCGGGGATGGGGGTGACCTTTTTATTGTTTTTTTTTCTTGAGAGATTACTATCAGGGTGTGGAGTAAGGTAACTTGCCCAAGGTTTCACCCTGCCGGGAATCAAACTTGGGTCTCTCACTTGCAAGGCGAGTGCTCTAACCACTGAACTACCTCATCCGAAGGATGTCACTTCTGACAATGCAGCATTCCCCCAGCATTGCATTGGAGTACCACTTTTGGACGATGTGACTCCAAGTCCAGTCGTAGGGCAAGAACCCCTATGTGTGTACGTGGACAGTGGATTACTAATTATAATCAGTGATGTGAGGCGCTGTGTCAGTGCCTACCTCACTGTGTCAGTGCCTGTCTGCTCACAGCTTCATCATGGCGATTTTCCTCTTCCTCCTTGTGATATTCTGGCAATGCAGAGCAGCCACTTCCTCAGCCCGGCTCAGGTGGGATCTCACAGGTAAAGAGGCTGCGATCCTGATTGTAACAACAACAAGGGTGGTGAGGACTGCATGCGAGTGTGAGTGTGTGTGTGAGATATAATGAGTGTGAGGGATATAGTGTATGTGAGTGTGTATGAGTTAGTGTGTGCGAGATGAGCATGAGATATAGAGATAGTGAGTGTGAGAGATGTGTGAGATACAGCTAGACTGTGACTGTATGAGTTAGTGAATGTGTGTGCAAAAAGTTTGAGAGCTAGTGTGCGTAAGTGTGAGAGCTAGCATGTGTGTGTGTTGGGGGTGCTGGAGTGTGAGTGTGCCCGGAACAGACAAGCAAAACAATTTCACGCTTTGATGTTGTGAATCTATCTTTAATTGGTGTCTTTCCTGTACCTCTGCAACTAGTGCAGCCTAACATGTCCGAGTTACACACTCTCTCTTTCTCTCTGCACTGCACCACTGACCCGGGCATCAACACAGTCTGAGTGCGTGTATGAGTTTGGGTGTGTACCTGTGTGTGTGTGTGTGTGACTGTGTTGTGGGGATGTAATTCTGTGAGTATGTGCACCTGTGTGTGCAACTGTGTGTGGCTGTGTACCTGTGAGTGTATATGTACCTGTGCGACTAAATACACCTGTGTGTGTGTGCTCGAGACTTTGTGTGTAAGAGACTGTGGGTGTGTATGTGTGAGATTGTGTGTGTGTATGTGTGTGAGACTGTGTGTGAGACCATGTGTATGGGACTATGTGTATGTGTGTGACTGTGTGTGTGTGAGTGTGTACCTAATATAGTAATCATAGTACAGTAATATAGTAATAATAGTACAGCAATATAATGCTAGTTCAGCAATATAATACTAATACAGTAATAAAGTAATACTAATCTAGAAATATAGCAACAATAATAAGGCAATCTAGTAATAATAATCTAGCAATATAGCAATAATAGTCTAGTAATCTAGTAATAATAATACAGTAATCATGTAGTCATATCATATAGTAATAATGTAGTAATAATATAGCAATCTAGTAATAATATAGTAATAATATACTATCATAGTAATGATGTAGTAATATAGTAATAATACAATAATAATCCTTGCATTTGATATAGAGCCTTATCACGTTGTTGAGATGTGCTTCACAGGATAGACTGTAAAGTGTAGTGACTCTGTGGGCGCAACGTTGCAGCCATTTTGCACCCAGCAGTATTACATTAACAGCCATGGATTGAGTGACCAGAATTAATATTATAATTATTCTTTCAGGATTTAGGGATTATTATATTATTTTTAAGCATTGGAGGAAGAGGGGAAGGAGGGAAGACTGATGCTGCCTTCCTTATCCTTCTCCTCCACATCCTTCCTTCCCTCCATCTACTCTCCAGGCCCCTCTCACCTCCCCACTTTTTTCCTTGCTCTCTCTCCCTCAAGCCCTCATTAACACTGTTGTCACTGTTTCTCTAACGATGAACCCCATCCCCAATGCCCCAGATTCTTATCAACCTCTCCTCCTCCCCGCTTCCCACCACTACTCTCTTTAGCCCCCTCCTCCATGCCAGTGGCCTGACCATGCGCTGCTGTCTCACTGTTTCCCACTTTGTCTCAAAATGCCCCCAACCCCATCCCCTGCCCTCCATTACTGTGGAGCCCTTTGGGACAACCTCCCAACGTGAAAAACGCTGTATCAATTGCAAGGATGATTATTATTATGATCTTATCCCAGGCTTGAATTAGTGTTCCCCTTTCACCCCTCGTGGTGATCGCTAATCAGCCGTGTTGCTTCTTACAGATCACAAACACAACCGGGTCAAATTTGGACATGAAGATTATGCTGTAACTCTTCATGAAGGAAATACCGTTTACATTGGTGGAACAAATGGCGTTTACAAGATCAACTTTAAAGATTCTTCGGTAATCAAGGTAATAATAATAAATAATAATCCTTGCATTTGATTGAGCTTTTCACGTCTTCGAGACATCTCAAAGCGCTTCACAGAATATACTACAAAGTGAATTGACTGTATATTTGTGAGCGAAACGCAGCAGCCAATTGTCCACAGCAGTGTCCCAGAAATAGCTATGGATTGAAGTGACCAATTTTATTATTTTTTTCTTGAGGGATTATTATTAGGGATTATTATTGTGTGTTAAGTGCTGTAACTGTGTATTAGTAGGCAAATGCTGCAGCAGGTGATTTGCGCACAATCATATCCCACAAACAGTCGTGATTTGAATGAACGATTTTATTTGGGGGATTGCCAGCCACAACAATGGGAGAAACTCCCTTCTCTTATTCAACAGTGTCAGCCTAGAGCCTAGACTATAAACTCAAATTTCTATTATGCATACATTTGCCTGAGCTACAGAAGAATAGTCAGATTTTGTATGGAAGTGAAATAGCTCAACAGCATCATTGTTGTCCAAGGATTATAATTGTTCTTTCTTTATCTTTCAGATTCCAGTGGTTGATCAAAAGGCCATTGATGATTGCAATAAACAACAACTGGTGAGTTACGACAATGAATTCTGCAGATTATTACAATATAACACAATAGAAAATTACATTTGTAAAGTGCGTTTCACGCTGGGTGAGTATCTCAAGGCGCTGGACAGTCAGGGATTTGGACCCGAGCTGGGGGTTGGGATCAGGTAGGATGGAGGGCAGTGAGGTAGGAGGATGGCTAAAGACTCGGTCGAAGCGGAGGGTTTTGATACACTCTTTGAAGGATGCAAGGGAGGGAGCGAGGCGAATGGAATGTGGGATCAAGTTCCTAGGGTGGGGACAGAAAGGCGGAAGGCCCATTAGCCAGGCTGGGACATGGAGCAGGCCAGAGCCTGCTGAGCGGAAGGAGCAGACAGATTGATATGGGGTCAGCACATTGCAGAGGTAGGGAGGGGCAAGGCCGTGGAGGGCCTTGAAGGCAAGGATGAGGATTTTGAACTTTGTCCTCTCTGGGATGGGGAGCCAGTGGAGTCGGGCGAGGGTGGGGATGATGGGGTCACAGAGCCTGGAGTGGAAGAGGACATGAGCTGCAGAGTTCTGGATGATCCACAACTTGTGGGGGGAAGGTTTGGAAGGCCGGTAAGCAGGGAGTTGGGGTAGTCGCGCCTATATAAGATGAATGCGTTGATGAGGATTTTGGCAGCCTGTGGGGTGAGGCAGTGGCAGAACCGGGTGATGTTGCGAAAGTGGGGGAAGGCAGAGAGGATCATGGCATGGATGTGGTGTAGAAAGGACTGTTGAGGGTCAGACAAGATGCCATGGTTCCACACTGGTTTAGTAAGGTGGAGTGTGCGTCTTTGGATGGTGATGCCGTCAGCACCTGAGATGTGGAAGCGCTGACTGGAGCCAATCAGGAGAGTCTCGATCTTGTTGACATTCAACTGTAGAAAGTTAGCTCTCATCCAGGAATTGATGCCTGATAGACATGTCAGGATAGCAGTGGTCCTAGAGTCGAGGGTGGAGGCAGAAAGATAGAGTTGGGTGACATCCGCATACATGTGGAAGTTGACTCCATGTCTCTGGATGATGTCGATATTGAAGTCGAGGGGACCATGGACAAAGCGCTGAGAAACACTGCACGAGACAGTTGACTCCACTTCTCTGGATGATGTAGATATTGAAGTTGAGGGGACCATGGACAAAGCGCTGAGAAACACTGCACGAGACAGTTCAGGGGCTAGAAGAGAAGCCATTTGGAGAGATGAAGTGGAGGCGGTGTGAGAGGTAGGATCTCGACCACTCAAGGACAGAACCATGAAGGTTGAGGTGAGAGAGAGGAAGTGGAGGAGGATAGAGTGGTCAACAGTATTGAAGGCAGTAGAGAGGTCAAGGAGGATGAGGAGCCAGAGGGAGCGCTGGTCACAAATGGACAAAATGTCATTCCACTTTGACCAAAGCTGTTTCTGTGCTGTGGACAGCATGGAAACCCAATTGGAGGGGTTTGTGTAGGGAGTGGCGGGAGAAGAAGGAGTGGACCAAGGACCTTGGAAAGGAAAGGGAGGCTGGAGATGGGGTGGTAGTTTGAGAGCAGGGATGGGTCCAGGGATTTTTTTTTAAGGATGGGAGTAATGACTGTTTTTCAAAAGGTGGAAATGGTGCCTGTATACTGGGAGAGGTTTATAATGTCTGGGAGTAGGTTGGCAAGGAGGTAGAGCTGAAAGGTAAGGAGAGGGGTAGGGATGGTGTCAAGGGAACTGGTGGTTGGTTTCATGTGGGTTATAATGGTGGTGAGAGACAAGGGAGAGACAGGTTCGAAGGTGTGGAGGGAGGGATGGGTAAGGGCCAGGGTGTGAGGGAGAGATAGGGAGGGGGTACTCTGTGCACAAGCTTTAATTTCAAATAAAATTTCAGAGGGCCTCTCTATAGATTGTATTTTACTGTTTTCATCAACTTTGGCTGGTCTTGAATTATTTGGGACCAATTTTGATCTGTTTTTATGCAAATCCTTGAGCTTGCTGCTTCTCAGCGTTGTTGCATTTGCTTTGTTACTTAACAAACCGCCTTCTATCATCTCTGCAAATGTTTTCTCCTCTTGCCCCCGTCCATTCACCTGTAGGGCATCATCCTTGGCCCTCTCCTTTTCCTTATCTACATTCTCTCTTTTGGTAATGTCATCCTCAGACATTAACTTCCACATGTTTTACTTCTTCCCATGAGGTTGTGATTCTAGGACTGCTGATGTTCTGTCAGCTTATCTGACAGTCATCAGGACATGGAAGAGCGCAAACTTCCTGCAGCTTCTTCTGCAGTTGAAGAAGGAAGCCATATTCCTTCAACGTCTTCTCTCCTGTGGCCCTGACCTCCTCAACCTCCCAGGGCTGTACCTCAGAGTTACCAAATTGCTGCGCAACCTAGGCATCAGGTTTGGCCAACAGTTGACTTTCTTCCCCACATCCGGTCCCTGACCAGAACCGCTTTCCTCCACTTCTGCCACATTGCCCACCTCTGACTACCTTACCACAGATGCAGCCAAAACACTTATCCATGCTTTTGTCAAATGCTGCCTCGAGTACTCTCCCATCGCTGGTTTCCAGGCCCCACTGACTCCTTACCATCGAAAGGATTGATTTGAACATCCTCACACTCATCTTCAAATTCCTTCATGCTCTGCCACCTCCCCACATCTCCAACCTGCTTACCCCTATTGCCTCTGCTTGACTGGCTCCGCCCTTCTGCTTTTCCCTCATACACTCCGTTCCATCATCAGTGGCCCCGCTTTCAGCCACTATGCCCTGAAACACTGCAACACTCTCTCTTAATCCCTCAGACGTGCCCTCCTTCCCCATCTTCAGGTCATTCCTGAAGACCTTCCTCTTCGACCATGCCTACGGTCATCTCCCTCCCCCCCTCCAGTCTGCTATGTTATTGTTGTTGTTGAGATAAATTCAGTGGTTTGGGATGTCCTCCTGACGTGAAAGACACTATACAAATGTAATTTGTTGTGGTTGTTGTTGTTGATTTGTATGTATGATATAATAATAATTCCTTATATATGAAAAGGCGCCTCTCGTGTTGTGAGGATGTCTCCAAGGACTTGATTTCCTGCGAAGTGTAGTGACTGCATTTTGTAGGCATAGGTATAAGTGTAAGCTGTTGTTTCTGTTCTGTTTAGCAGCTTAACATTGTTGACGGCATCTGTTTGTTTCCAGGAATACTGTCAAAATATAATCACCGTTTTACAAAGATTGGATGAAAATAATCTATTTGTGTGTGGCACCAATGCTCAGACACCCCAGTGCTGGTATCTTGTAAGTAGACGTTACAAAAATAGTAACATGCATTGAAAAATTATTATTTGTTATATTGCCATCAGCCTTAACGAGTAATATAAATATTAACCTTTGCATTTGATATAAATGTTCATATCAGGAAGACGTCTCAAAGCACTTCACAGGATTTACTGTAAAGTGTAGGGCCGTGTGGTTTGTGGGCAAACGGAGCAACCAGTTTATGCACAGCAATGTCTCCCAAACAGCCACAATGTGACTAATAATAATAATCCTTGCATTTGATGTAGCGTCTTATCACGTCTTCGAGCTGCCTCAAAGCGCTTCACAGAATATACTGTAAAGTGAATTGACTGTATATTTTGTGGGCGAAATATGGCACACAATTGTGCACAGCAGCGTCTCTCATCAGTCTTGGATTGATTTTTTTCAATGGAATTATTATCCCAGGAAAAACAATCCACCAATCGACTAACAACTGGGTTCCTACTTACTTCTAAGTAAACAGAGACATGTGGAGTAAGGAAACTTGCCCAATATTTTGCCCTGCCCGGGAATCAAAATGGAACGTGGATGGCATCCCTGCCGCTGTCTCAGGCGTGGGCCTCAGTGGGTGCGGCGGAGGGGGGTGGTGACATTGTCAGAGGTGCTGTCCTTTGGATGTTAAACTTAGGGTAGACAATAACGACTATGTGGCACTATTCAAAAACAGAAGGCAGTTCATCTCAATATCTGGCCAACAATCCTGAGTCATTCACTTCATGGCTGTTTGTGCGACATTGTTGCACCAAAAACGCGGAGGGACTCCCTATTACAGTAAAGGCTTTGAGACTTTATGCATAGTGAGAATATTAATCTCAGTGTTGTTTGTCATTGTGACTGATTTTTCCAAGGTTATTTTTTGCGCCCTGCCCCCGGAGATAGAAAGGGAAAAGGAAGTAAACCCAGCATCTCAATGGTCTCTTTGTGTAGCTCCTAGCAGCTGTCTACAAGGGGGTCACACACAGAATAATACTAAGTTACATTTGCATTGTGCTTTTCACATCAGGAGGCATCCAGGATGATGGAGAGGGAGTTGTGGAGGAGAGTAATTGAGGAGGGTAGGTCATTTCAGGAGAAGATCCAGAGGTGCAGGAGTTGAACTTCAGATTCAAGATCTGATTTCAAAGCTACTCATTCACCCATAAAATGAGACTGAGCAATGAGCATCAGAAAATAAAACAAGTCGCCTTCCCGACACTAATCACTTGTTTCTGCTTATTAGGGGAACGATGGGAGCTTGAGTGTGGTTATCAATAAGTTTAATGTACCTCTCGGGAGAGGTGCTTCTGCGTTCACCTCTAAACAGAGAACCACTTCACTGCTTGTGGGTAAGTCTGGGTCCAATTCACATCTTGTTTCTGGGCAAAATTACTGTTCACATCCCAACTCCTCTATCAACCCCCTTCCCTCAGCTGGCTCTGGCCTCCTGCACGTCCCTCATCCCCTCCGTCCATCATCAGAGGCTTGTGCTCTGAAGACCTTCCTCTTTAACTGCGACTACACTCACCTCCCATTTCCCTACCCCCATCAGCTCAGCATCAAGCTCCTGCCACTCCCTAGAGGTAAAAACAACTTTGGTTGATGTTGAAATTGTAGCCTGATTCTTATGTTCCAATACAGACAAAAGACTCTATACAGCTACTCCTCTCTATAGCAATGGTGACGGAATCGTTTTTCAAGTATTTGAAGGCAAAATGCTGTTGAGGTCTGTGGACAAATGGATGAATGGTGAGAATGAAATGATAATAAATGTTTAGGGCTCTCTTTCTTTGCTTGGTTACTGACAGTTTGAGAATTGTGGCTCTCCTCAGTCGTCAGGGCTTTGTCTTGCAGGTTAACAACAATAACAACAAATTGCATTTGTACAGCGCCTGTCACATCAGGAGGATGTCACCAGGCGCTGGGACAGTCAGAACTTTGGGCCTGAGCCTAAGTTGAAGGTCAAAGAAGACTCTAAGGTTCTGGACTGGCTCTATGAGGTGCAGTGTGCATCCCTGGATGGTGATGTTGTGAGCACCTGAAGTGTGGAGGCGCTGACAAGAGCCAATCAGGAGAGCCTCGGTCTGGTAGAATGTTGACTCTCATTCAACAACAACAATAACAACAACAACAAGATTCCATTTATAAAGCGCCTTTCACGTCAGGAGGACGTCCCAAGGCGCTGTACAGTTGGGTCAGGACCCGAGCATTGGGGGGAAATGGTCAGGGGAGGGGAGGGAAGGGAGGGAGCGAGGAGGGGGTAGAGAGTCGAGAGGGGAGCTGAAGGCACGGTCAAAGAGAAAAGTCTTGAGACCGGTCTTGAAGGAGGAAAGGGAGGAGGCGGCGAAGGCACTGGGGGATAGAGTTCCAGAGCCTCGGGGCTGAGAGGCTGAAGGCCCGACCACCGATGGTAGGGGTTGGGGCGGGGGATGTGAAGCAGACTGGAGCCAGAGGAACGGAGGGTACGGGCAGGTAGGTAGGAGAGGTAGGAGGGTCGGAGAGGTAGGAGGGAACAAGGCCGTGAATGGCCTTGTAAGTGAGGGTGAGGATCTTGAATTCGAGACTTGATGTCTGATAAACATTTTATCAGGACAGCAGTGGTCCTGGAGTCGAGGATGGTGATAGATTTGGATGTCATCCGCATACATGCGGAAGTTGACCCCATGTCTGTAGATGATATTGCCAAGGGGCAGCATATGGATATTGAAGTGGAGAGGACCAAGGACTGAGCCCTGACAGATGCTGTACGAGATGGTGCAGGGCTGGAGGAAAGGCTATGTGTGGAAACAGACTGGAGACAATGGGAAATTTGATTATTTCCCACCTGGGCAAAACATAATTTGTCACTTAACGGGAGCTCAGTGGGAAGAAGCCCTTAACCCCACTAGCCTCTGCCTCCCACTTGTTCGGTGTCTGACCCATGTTTTGTAACATGCGTTGAGACATAAAAAGACACAGAGAGATACAGAGAGAGTGAGAGACATACACAGACATACAGAGAAAGACAGACTAAGACAGACAGTGAAAGAGAGATGTCAAGAGCCAGAGAGAGAGACGGACGGAGAGACAAAGTCAGTAAGAGACAGAGCAAGACAGGGAAGGGCTGGCACAGTGTGCTGTGTGCTGTTATACAAAGTCAGAGAAAAAGAGAAAGCAAGTTAGAGAGTGAGACAGAGAGAGATCACATCAGCGAGAACGACTGGCACAATGTGCTACTATGTGTATTTTGTTTGATATCCAATTATCTGCCCTGTTTCCATATCCACATTGGGCCAAGGGTAGTTGCTTGGTCATTGGGCTCTCTGCCGTCTGGGTCACTCTTCAGTAACTTGTGATCTTGTCTCCTCTTGTTTAGAGCCCATCTTCACCAATATGGCGCCACTGGATGATCTGATTTTCATGTTCTTCCAGGAGAAACGTTTGGGAGCAAAGAACCTGGAGGTTGACCCCTGGATATCCCGGATTGCACGAGTGTGCAAGGTGTGTAAGGCCGGCATTGAACCATTGACATTTACAGCTCAGACCATGGTGCCTGCGATGTCTCTCTGAGACATCTGTTTCGCTTGTCGTTTCTGATGGTAGAGACCACAAGATGATGTGATGATGTGATCAAGCCGCTTTTTAAATGAGTCCCAGCGTCCTGGCCTCAACCACCCTTCCCGACAACCCCGATACAATCATTACTGCACTCTGAGTAAATAAGTACTTGATCATCTTGCAATTGCCCTCTGCAGACCTGAACCTGTGTCCTCTTGTTCTGCTGTCCCAGTGCAGCAGAATTAACTGTTTTGGGCAGTGACGCACACTGACACCAATTTAATGTGAATGAGGTCTATCAGATGGCAACTATTATTGTTCTGTATTGCTATTACAGTCTGATCTCTTTACTCATAGGCTGACAAAGGGGTCCCGAATCTGACTTGTTCAATAAATGGACGACCTTTCTGAAGGCAAGGCTGGTGTGCAGTCTGCCCTCCCAGAACCTGCATTTCAACCGGGTGGAAGACGTTTTCATTGATAAATCTAGTACGTCCAGCGAGACCCGAGTCTATGGTATATTTTCCAACAGTTGGTGAGTACACCAGAGCTGCATGATTCAAGAACTGCGTGATGATAGGGGGGTGTTCTGGTGGTGGCCAAAGGGCCTTCTTCATCCAAACTAATCGTGAGAAATTCAATTCATTGTATGTTTCCAAACAAATTATTTTATTTTCTCTTTTTTCAGGAATTCAACAGCGGTCTGTGTGTACTCCATGGGAGATATTTTAAACGTGTTTAAGAATTCCAATTTCAAGGGTTTCACTGACAAAATTCCCGATCCCAGGCCTGGCACGGTAAGGAGTGACACAAATCTAGTTGTTCACAACACACAAATTTAGTATTCACTGATTTGTTTGGAAGTGAATGACAAGCTTCTGCTGCAATAGTAATCCTTACATTTGATGTAACGCCTTGTCACATCTTTGAGACGTCTCAAAGTGCTTCACAGAATATACTGTAAAGGGTATGTTTATTTTGTGGGTGAAATGTTTCGCCAATTGTGCACAGCAGCGTCCCACGAACAGTCATGGATTGAGTGACCAAATTATTATTATTTTTTTGAATGCCCAAAAAGTGATCCGTCAATTGACTAACAACTTGGTTCCTACTTACTGCTGAGTAAACAGAGGCGTGTGGAGTATGGAAACTTGCCTAAGGTTTCACCCTGCCCGGAAACTGAACTTGGGTCCCCTCACTTGCAAAGCGAGCGTGCTAACCACCACGTTACATGCCCTGGTCTGTCCAGGGTAACAGAGCTCAAAGTGTCCTGTAACCTGTAACTATAGACCAGAGGGACAGTTCAGTTACTATTGACCTGGATGAACCTGAGCATCAGTGCATGAAAGGTGCACAATCATGACTTGTGAAGCCGCCTTCGATGTGATGTTGAGGGAAAATCAGTGTCAAGGATGTTTATGGTTTTGGCGAGAGCCATTGGGGTTTAATGACTTATTTTCAACCCGAAATGTTTACAGTCCTTCTCATTCCAACCCCCTTATTTGTATGACCCTGAGTATAACAGAGACATTGATGTGGAGGATAACCCGTTGACTGTTTTTACTTAAAAATACTTCTTGTTTTGTGTTTGCATGTGATGCCAAAGAGAGAGAGAGGGGGGAGGGCAGCAAATGATCAGTTCCTGAAAGCAACATCTGTTTAAAGCTTTACAAACGTTAGGATTCTCTTAATCTTCACTGGGCAGTCTTTAAATAGGATTTATCAAAGAGGCATTTGTCATCAGAACATCTAAAACTTTCCAAATGTTCAAAAGTGCAACTTCTTTGAGGGAGGTGTTTCCTGTGTAGATGCTGTGATGGGAAGGAGGGTCAGTGTTGCGAAGGGAATAGATTAGATCTTCATCCAAACCGATCTTGTAAAAGAATATTGGAGAGAAAGCCAGCAGAAGGCCTTCTAATTGATTGTTGCACTGGCAGAGTCCTGGAGAGATGGTGTCCTATATGTCTCTGGGCCAGGAGAACATGGTCGCTGGTAGAAATTCCAACCCAGATCTAGATTGATTTTATTTCCTTAGCATTTCAAAATGTCCAGAATTTGGCAAATTCTTGAATCTATCTTTGTTTTGAAGTCAGGTTTCATTTAAGAAACTGCAGAAACGCGGACTCCATTTGCTAAAATTCTGGATGTTCTAAACAGGTAATAATAATAATCCTTGTGTTTGATATAGCGCTTTCTCATGTGTTTGAGACATCTCAAAGCGCTTCATAGAATGTACTGTAAAATGAATTGACTGTATATTTTTGGGCGAAATGCGGCAGCCAATTGCACACAGCAGCGTCCCACAAACAGTCATGGTTTGAATGACTAAATTGTTATTATGATTCCTAAGAAACTAAAATGAATTTGGACACTGGGGGTGGGTGGGGAGGAATGGGGCATTGAGATTCTCTCCCAAAGGTGATAAAGTCAGAGACAACTTGTAGCACAAATAAAGATTAAATCTCCTGTTTTGCACAAATATTGCAGTGCGTTGCTGACAGTAAGAGCATACCATATGAGAGCTTGATCTTCATAAGTAGACACCCTGAGATGGAGCAGCCGATCGACCCCATCGGAGGAAAACCAATCATCAGCAGCAAACAGCACTACTTCAAGAAAATAGTGGTGGACAGAATTGTTGGGAAAGCTGGCCTGATCTCCCATGTTCTCTACCTGGCTACAGGTAGGTCATGGCAGGCTCTCGTTTGGCTAAATAGTCTTCCTGACACATTAATGGGTCCTCAAGCCTTGCCTCTCGCCATCCTGGGCCAGTATAATTTTGAGATTAGGTCAGGCAGGGGAGAGAGTGCACAATTTCTTCCAAACACAGACCCACGCCAGGACTTGAGCTCACATTGTCTGAACTGCCACTCTAATGCAGTGCTGGGTGTATTATATTGTCAGAGTTGCTGTCGTTTGGAATTCTGCTGGATAGTGGTTAGAGCATTTGCCTTGCAAGCGAGAGGATCTGGGTTCGATTTCAAGGCAGTGCGAAAATTTAGATAAGTTTCTTTACTCCACACGTCTCTGTTTACCTAGCAGCAAGTAGGAACCCGGTTGCTCGTCAGTTGGTGGATTGCTTTCCGGGTGTAACAATCCCTTTTAAAAAAAAATTGATCACTCACTCCAAGGTTGTTTGTGGGACGCTGCTGTGCGCAATTGGCTGCTGCATTTTCCCACAAAATATACAGCAGCAGACATTTTGCCAATATGATTAGAAGGGAGTTTTCACTATGTATGTCTGCCTGGGGCATGACAGATACACATTCCAAACGAGAAGGGAGTTGTTCCCAGATAAAAATAATTGGTCGCTCACTTCATAGCTTTGTGACATTGCTGTGTGCAACTGACTGCCACATTCTCCCACAATATACAATCAATCCAATTTACAATGTATTCTGTGAAGCGCTTTGAGATCTCTCAACGGGATAAGGCTCGATATCAAATGCAAGGATTATTATTATTTTCATGTATATGTGGAAATTTCATTATTTGGTTTGGAGATTCTTAAGCATGGCAATGCTTTTTATTGGATATGTCAGACACCCAGCTGGACAAAAATATAGAACATTTATTGCATTGTACTGCAACAGATTGGCTGTGAATACACAAGCGGAGAAATTTATCGAGGGCTAGGTTTTATAATAAGAAAGCTTTCCTTTGAAACAGCGCCTTTCATGCCATGAGAACATATTAATCTAACTGCTCCATTATTAAATCCATCTCCCTCCCACCTCAGGCTCCCACTTGGTCTCTGAAATATGCCTTGAGATGGATGTGCAAGCTGTTTTTGTGTTTGGAGGTCACCTTGGGATATATGTTACCTACAAAACCAGTCACACCAGTTCAGTAATTACTGTCAACTTGCAAAACGCTACAAGAATGCAAACGCTTTCTTTGCTAAGACTGCTGTAACATCACCGCTTGTTTGATCTCTGCAGAGAACGGAAAAATCCAGAAAGTGGCGGAAATAAATAAATCGACCTTCGTTATATCAGAAATCAAAGTTCTGAGCAAACCGGGGCCGATCTTATCCATGTTCCTCGATTCACAAACAGTAAGTGGCGAACGTGCCCAGAATCATCCATCTGGTAATAAATACCCCAACCATCATCATATTTACCCTCTCAGCACTGAGGAACAGCACTGACCTTGTGCCTTTTCCGTTCTTTCTAGAAACATCTGTACATCAACTCTGCGGAGGAGCTAGTCCGGTTTCCGATGCCGCAGTGTTTCCGTCACACAAACACCTGTGAAAATTGTGTCATGGCCCGAGACCCTGACTGTGGGTGGAACTCAATCAGAAAGCAATGTGAAACTTTCAATCCGAAGGGGTAAGTGATAACCTTGTGATTGTCAGCGCTGATTTCTAATCTTTTCAGCGGTCAGCCCGGCTCAGCTGGTTACACTCCCGCTTCTGGGTCAGCAGGTTGTGGGTTTATACCCCATGTTAGAGGCTTTGAGCTCACAGGCTAGGTTGATGCTCAGTACTGCTCTGGGGTGGTGAATGCTGTATTGTTGGAGAAGTCGTCCTTCAGGTGAGACGTTAATGCTACAGAATGATTACAAATTACTGAATTCAGTCTTAACTTTTGTAGTCAGTTTTCTATAGGTTTTATGGAAGGTTGTAATAAACAATCTGGAGATAGCACAGTTAAGGAAACTATTGGTTAATATATTAGAGCCCAGATAGGATCCATTCCCCGCATGTGATGACAGGTTTAACTGAACATGTGCAGCCAGCTCTCTCCCTGTGAGCCGCCCATTTCAGGTATGAAAAGTACAAATGGCTGACTTTTGGATCACCACCATCACTTCCTGTGGTGTGCAAAGCAGGACGTGATGTTGGTGGCGACCAGGAAGATGACCATGTTTTCGAGCAGGCCAGCACAGTGAATGGGGTGCACAGTGCCATTGTAAGAGACTACAGTGAAGGGCGTTGTAATGGGTCTGCGCTGTGTTTAAACAAAGCTGCTGTGCCTTGTGCCCTCTGTAAAGAAATGGCCAAGTTAGAAGTTCCAATGGGATGTGATTAGGAAGGCCAGCGTTCTGTTGACAAGTGACTGTGTGATGTGGGATGAATGTGTTCTTACTGCATAGCCTCATCCCAGACTTTAAACGTGAAATCCTTTTCCAGGGCCCTCATCCAAGATCTCCAACATGGGAATCACCAGAGATGCTATAATAGCGAAGGTAAAATGCTGTTTGAGACTCAGAAATTAGTTGCTGCGCGATTGTATATATTTGAGGGTGAGATTGAAAGAATGCAGAGCAAACATATTTCAAACAAGGAGTAAGGGATGTCCCCCCACCTTCTGGAACTTTATCCCACCTCGCCCCTCCCTTGCCTCCTTCAAGGCTCGTCTCAAGACCCTCCTTTTTAACCGTTCCTCTGGCCGGAGGTAAACGGGGTCTCCTTGGAGCTGAAATGATGTGATTGGCAACAAAATGTCTGAATTGAGCCAACCCTCTTAGCGGTCCTAGCTCGACAAGCAGCGGAGAGCTTGCCATACAGTGTCATCATTCAATCCACGACTGTTTGTGAGACACTGCTGTGCGCAATTGGCTGCCGTGTTTCACCCAGAAAAAAATATACAGTCAATTCACTTTACAGTATATTCTGTGAAGCGCTTTGAGACATCTAGAAGATGTGAAAAGCGCTATATCAAATGCAAGGATTATTATTATATCAAATGCAAAGTTTATTATTATTATTATCAATGGCATGGCTTTTTAGCTAGTCAGACTCCAGCAGTTACCCCAACGCACACTCTGGAGTTGCCAAGTCTTGGCTCTTGCCAACCTGTGCCTAATACTTTCTGGAATTAGATAAGCAGGTGGGCCCCTCCAGGGAGAGAGAGAGAGTGCACATTCGATTCCAACAATCTATTTCTCGGATTTCCATGATAGGTGGGATCAATGAGCCTGTATTGGGGAAGGAGACACGGCAAATCAACATTTCCCCGGATACCAAGCCACCGCCCATGTACCTGCCGTGCCGGAAGTATTCCTATCACGCCGAGTATTCATGGAAACACAAAGACCAGATGCTGCCCTGCTCCTCCACTCGTGATGATTGTCTTCTCCTCATCGAGAGGTTTTCTGAGCCTGATTATGGCTTGTACGAGTGTATTTCAAGGGAAAATGGAATGGAGCAGGTTCTGGCTTCCTATTTAATTCAGGGAACCAGCAAACCATCGCAGTAGTCATCCAAGTTAACCCAGTACAGACCTTTCATTTTGTTGATGTAGGGTGTAAGAATCATTGGAAGATGTGATTAACCACATTATCGAATATAATTAGCATTGGTTATTTACAGATGAGGTTTGTGAGGAAAGATAAGGGTGATTTGGTAAATGCGATAGAGTAAACAAGTCCAGACAAGCTGGAAGTGTTGTCAGAGATGGAGTTAGGGCAGAAGTGCCCGAGGCAGCTTGTGTCAGGAACGTGCAGTGAGGATGGTTCAGCTCCTCGCCTCCCAATGGGTTCTTTGGGGTTAAGTGTGTAGAGGTTTAACTCACTCGTATGACTTACATTCACTGTCTTAATAAAATCATCAGGTAAATCTACTCTTGGGTCCTGAACCTCTATTTAGAATGAAGTAAGTGAAAGATTGTGCTTCCCAACACAGGAGCAGTCTCGCTCTGGGTCCACCTTTGCTTATAGCTGTGCTGCTGCTGCTGCACTGAAGTCAGAGACTTCACACCAGCCACAAAAAGGCCATTCAGCCTGCTGCCAGCCTCAGGGTCTCTGTGTCACACGCTGTTCTGTCCCTATATGTTTGCAATGTTGGAGGTGCCGTCCTTTGGATGAGAGGTTGTCTGCCTGTTCAGGCGAATGTTAAAGATCCCACCGCACTACTCGAAAAGATAAGAGAGTTTCTCCTGGTGCCCCGACCNAAAAAAACTACACAGGATTCTATTGTAAAGTGCAGCAACTGTGTAACTTGTAGGCAAACGTAGCGGCCGATTTGTGCACACCAATGGTCCACAACCATGAAGTGAAGGACCAATTTTATGTGGGGTATTGATTATTAGCCAGGACACTGGGAGAGAGAAACTCCCTTATCTTTTCGAATAGCATCATGGGATCTTTAACATCCACTTGAACAGGCAGCTAAATGCAAATCGAGGATTATTTATAACTTATCTCAGTATCTCCTGATGTAGATTTGTATTGTATTGCATTGGCNAAAAAACTTCTTGCCTTTTTCAAACCGTGCCATTAGATCTTTAATATCCACCTGCACAGGCAGACGGGACCACGAGTTAAAGTCTCACCTGAAGGACACCACCTCTGACAATGCAGGGCTCTCCCAGCACTGCAACATCAGCTAACCTGCGACTCACAAGGAATACAACAGAATCATTAATGAATCGGTGCGGCTGTTGCTAGCTGGGACTAGTGAAGCGCGTCACCAGTAAGAGGAGAGTTTCAAAATAGAACACAGAGCACGTCTCTGATTCTCTGATCGTTCCAGTGAGGTGATGTGTGAGGAGCGGTTTCAAGGGTGAAATGACATCTCAGGGCTCAGATGATGGTAATCTGCATGAGTGGCTCAATGCCTCCAGTGGCTCAGTTCCGGGCTGGAACAATTTGTGCTGGAATAATTCTCGAGCAACGTTCACTTAATCAGCTCGAAATACAACAACTGGCAGCACCAGTCCATCCATTCATTAACTAAGTCCCTGTGCAGTAAACTATTGACTACAAAACATTGCTAACCGACCGCACCTCAACGAATGGTGCGCAAGTTACATTAGGTTCCCTGCGGGTCTCCAGATAGCCTGGCACTTTGCTGTAAACCTATGAACCCTCACTTCCTCTCCTCATTCAAAACCCATCTCAAGACCTAACTCTTTTGACCATCGTTGTCCCTGCCCACCCCCCTGGGTTCCCTCCCCCAGCTCGGGTACCAAACCAGTGCTGTGAAGTGCCCCGAGATATCCTCCCAATATGAGAGCCACTTTCACCAACCTGTCTGCTCCCTCCGCTCTGCAGGCGCTGGCCTTCTCCATGTCCCCTGCCCTGCCTGCTCCACTGTCGACATCCCTCACCCTACTTGTTCCACCAACGACGGTCGGGCCTTCAGACTTTCTGCCCCACCCTCTGGAACTCTATCCTGGAGCCCCCCTGCCTCGGGCCCTCCCTTCCCTCTTTCATGGCAAGTCTTAAGACCTTTTTTGACCATGTCTTCTGTCATCTTCCCTCCTCCACCTCATCCTTATCCTCCACTCCTCTCTGATTCCAACCCCCACCTTGGGTGCAAATTTGTTGTTATACAAATATAACTTGTTTTGTATTATAACCTGTAAACTCCGCCTGTGCCTATATTCTATTAATGTAGGAATTTCAGAAAATGCAGAAGTGACAAATTCTTAAGCCTGAATTTACTTTAAGAACTACAGAGAAAAACCTTCAAAGTTAAAGCTGAATACACAAATTGTGGGCAATCTAACCAGTTATAATAACAGAGTAAATTTAGACCCGAGTGGAATTCTATCCCAAAAATACAACAAAAAGATTACATTTGTATAACGCCTTTCATGTCGGGAGGATGTCCCAAGGCGCTGGACAGTGTACAGCATTTCAGACCCGAGCTGGGGTTGGGGGGGGAGAAGGGAGGGGAAGGGGGGTGACCGATAGTATGGTTGAAGAGGAGGGTCTTGAGGCGGGACTTGAAGAGGGGGCGAGGCGGAATGATTGGGGGAATGGAATTGCAGAGGTTGGGGGCAGAGTGGCTGAAGGCTCTCCCGCCAATGGTGGGGCGGGTGGCTCGGGGGGTATGGCGCAGGCCGGAGCCAGAGGGAGCGGACGGGTTTGTAGGGGGTCTAGGAGGTCACAGAGATAGGGTGGGGCGAGGCCATGGAGGGCTTTGTAGATGAGGACCAGGATCCTGGACTGGAGAACTGGATCCTCTGAAGGATAGGGAGCCAATGGAGTCGGGCGAGAGTGGGGGAGATGGGGTCATGGAGTTTGGTGCGGGAGAGGACACGGGCTGCAGAGTTCTGGATTATCTGCAGCCTGTGGAGGGAGGAGTTGGGAAGGCCGTCAAGCAGGGCGTTATAGTCGAGCCTGGAGGTGATGAAGGCATGAACAAGAGTTTCAGCGCCTGAGGGGTGAGGTAGTGGCGGAGTCGGGTGATGTTACGGAAGTGAGAGAAGGCAGAGCGGGTCATGTATTGGATGTGGGGAAGAAAACAGTTGAGGGTCGAACAAGACACTTCGGTTCCTGACTGGCTGGTGAGTTGAAGTGTGTAACCATGGAGGTTGATGTTGCCAGAGCCTGAGGTGCGGAGGCGCTGGCGCGAGGCAATCAGGAACCTCAGTCTTGTTCACATTCAACTATAGAAATTTTGCCCTCATCCAGGACTTGATGTCCGACAGACATGTCATCTGGGGGATTGTTGACCAGGACACTGGGAGAGAGAAACTCTCTTTTCAAGAGTGCCATGGGATCTTTAACATCTCTACACTTTAAGTAAAATGTGAAGTGCTTTGAGATTTTTTCCTGATGTGAAAGATACTAGTTCAAATGTGAGGATTATTATTATGATTTTTCTTTCTGTGTGGGACTCTGGGGATGATGACACCATCCTAGTAATAATAATAATTTGATATAGCACTTTTCACGTCTTCGAGATGCCTCAAAGTGCTTCACAGGATATACTGTAAAGTGAATTGACTGTATATTTTGTGAGCGAAATTCGGCAGCCATTTGCACACAGCAGTGTCCCACAAACAGTCATGGATTGAAGTAAACAATTTATTATTGAGTTTTTTTCTTGAGGGATTATTATTAGGTGTAAGGAAATTTGCCCAAGGTTTCACCCTGCCGGGAATCGAACCCAGGTCTCTCACTTGTGAGGCGAGTGCTCTAACCACTGAGCTACAGGACTCCAAACAGGATCCTACCGGTCGGGGCAGGTGATACATGGTGCAGAGCAAGAACACGACAGCAGAGAAGGACTCTGTGACAGATCTACAGTCACAGGAGGATGAAAGTATGTGAGGTGCTCGGAGAGTCAGGGAGCACAGAGAGAAGAGTTGGAAGAAGGGGTTGAGAGGAACAGAAACCAAATCCAGAGATTACAGAGGAGGCAGACTTTGGTTTGCTAACGTTAAAGCCAGTTTCCACAGTGGAAGGAAAGTGTGGGATTCAGACCCACGCACCCTCAGCATTAAAGAAATACATCTTCTCTTGACTTTGAAAGTTGAAAATAAACTTGGTTACTCACTCCACAACTGTTTGTGGGACATTACTGGGCGCAACTGGCTGCTACGTTTCGCACACAAAATACACAGTCATTCCATTTCACATTAAGTCCTGTGAAGCACTTTGAGATGACTTGAAGACTTAATAAGGCTCTATCAAATGCAAGGATAATTATTTTGAAGAGCGGATTCTGAACTCTTTTTTACTGTTCATAATCAGGCTGTCATAATCAATGTATTTAATAATAATCCTTGCATTTGCTACAGCGCCTTATCACATCTTGAAGACGTCTCAAATCGCTTCACAGAATGTACTGTAAAATGAATTGACTATATTTTGGGGTTATATTAGGCAACCAATTGCAGGGAACAACTCGTAAACTAAACATCTGATGTTTGACTCCTCATCGCAGTGATCTGGAAAGAAAGTGCAAGTGAGAACTGAGAAAGGGAATAAGAGAGACAAAAAAAACGCATGAGAAAAGATCATAAAAGAGCAACACTAGGTTCATTTTAAAACATGTTATGAGTAAAAGGACAGTCAAAGGAAGAGTGGGGCCGATTAGGGACCAAAAAGTAAAACTTCTTGTGGAGGCAGAGGGAATGGTTGACCTACTGAATGAATAATTTGCTTCTGTCTTCATCAAAGAAGAGGATGCAGCCAATGTCATAGTAAAGGAGGAGAGGGTAGAGAAATTGGATAAGATATCCATCTGGTCCGGATGGGATAAGTTACTTAGGGATAAGTTACTTAGGCTCTTATCACAATCTTTCAATCCTCCTTGAATATGGGAGCGTTTCCAGAGAACTGGAGTGTTGCAAATGTTACACCCCTGTTCAAAAAAGTGGAGAAGGATAAACCTGGTAACTTCAGACAGTCAGCCTAACATTGGTCGGAAACTTCTGGAGACCATTATCTGAGGCTAAATTGATTTTCAATTGGAAAAGCATGTAGTTCTAACTATCCATCTGTCAACCTGTTATTGCTTGTGCTCTTGGCTCTTGCGTGGGCACCTCTAACATAATATGGGATGGAATATTAAATGGAATGTTTTGTAAGGCACTGAGACATTACGTCAAACCATTGTGATATATTTTTAATAGTTATTTTATCCTTTTGTCACTTCCAGACTTCCTTTCCAGAGAACAAAAGATATTGTGTTGAGCTGTCATTACATAACACGCCTCATTGTGGTAATATAATACACAGCACAAACAACACGCACACCACACACACACAACATGCACACACCCACGCACACACACACCCACGCGGCACGCATGCAGACACACTCACACAGCCCAAACATATACAGCACAGACCCAGCACACACTCACCCAC